TGATTAGAACAGATATCAAGCCAGATTTATTTTTAAAAATGTTGTACAAGTGGTTAAAGAAAAGATGATAAAGGAATATTCAAATAGGTTGAACAAAATGAATTTTAAGACAGTTGCTCCTGACTAGGACCAAACCCACATGGTACCAGGCTATGGGATTCCACAGACGCGCAACACCACTTGGTGTTCGGAGGACTACCAAAGTGTAACAGAAAATGTATAAAAACGTGGAAATATGCAAGTCAGTTAGCAAAGGAAAAACAGGTTATAATGTTTCAAGTATGTACTTTTTGAGTATACACAATATTTAAATCAGATAGATTTCTATCTGACCGGCTGTGTTCCTAGCATTCCCTTTTCTCAATGAAATTTCCAATAATTTACCTTTCACCTTTTATTACCAGGCAAAGCGTATTTTACATAGTTTAAAGTAACAAACTATTATTTCTGGGCATTTGAAATACAGATATTGATTGTTAATAGAAGCATGTACTAGATACAAAGACAATTTACTGAATAGCTGATACCTCATTGCATTGGTCACAATGAGTAAGGGGTTTTACAAAGAACAAAGATGTTTGCTATTTGGGACATTGACTGATCAACATTAGGATCCAGATGCACAGGAAGTGATCCAGGGTCTGGCATGACTATGTACAGAGTTTGAGACCACTGGAGAGGGAATTAATAGATCTAGAGAAAGAGCAGCGCTCCGAAAGCTTGTGATTTGAAATTTGTATTTGAAATGCCCAGAAACAGAACAATGTCTGTTAGTTACTTTAACAGTGTGTTACTGGTAAAGTGAAATGAATAGAATAACATTTTTATGAAATGTTCATATATACGTATCTGATAATTAGCCATTCTTCCAGATTGCTGAAAATCCTATCTAAATTAGATAGGCCAAAACAATGGGTTCTAGTCCATTATCACACATTGTAAATACAGGAGTGATACATCAACCCACTCTTCCAAAATAAGTCAGATCAGAAATGTTTATTTTAGCCAGAAAAATAGATTTTCAGCCACAAGTATTGTCACAACACAAAATTACTGCAATTCATCAGCGTGTACTGTATGATATCTGTAAAAATGTCAAATAAAAACCAAAAGAACTGCAGGACGCTGTAAGTCAGGAACAAAAACAAAGTTGCTGGAAAAGCTCAGCAGGTGTGGCGGCATTTGTGAAGAAAAAATCAGAGTTAACATTTTGGGTCCAGTGACCCTTCCTCAGATGTAAAAATGTCAGCCTCTCATGGGTTTATAATCATCTATTGCTAAAATAGAATATGTACTCTTCCGACATTGAACGCTGTAAATATCACTTATTGTAAATAGTACAGCTCAAGCCCCTCTTGAATTAATACTATCCAAACACCATCCAGACATAGTTCAATTTTGCCATTTGAGAATTTTGCCTCCTTTAGACTATTATCCTGCACTCAGTGAAGATAGAAAATAAATGCTGCCCCACCCTCTCTTTCTTCCCTTAAACTCCACTCACAAATAAGGCATCTTTATCTGGGATGTAGACATACAAATATTTTCCAAACCCTCAAAGCCAGTGTTTTAAACGCTATCTTAAGATATAGTTAAGCCAATCAACCATGCATCAAGAGGACAACAATCAAAATGAAGGCTAAAAAGGTGATTTTTAAACTAACTATCACCGCCACACCCCTCCTCTCAAGCATGAGTCGTTAGTACAAGAATTTATCATATTTTCATAACCACACTCCTCATCAGGCTCGCTCCCACCGTGCCCTGGAAATGTGCTACATTTGCTTTCAATAAGAGTGGGCTCTGTTGCTTTGGGGGAAAACAGTCGGCGCAGCTATTGATTTTAATTCATGGAGCTGGTGAAAATAAAATGAGGTTGGGGTGGGGAGTTATCGTGCCCCCTGCGTTTATAGCCGCCCTCTCTAACCCTGCCCGGGGTGTGTCCGTTGCTAAGGGGCTGAGGTATGGGGAAGTTAGGACCAGGCCACAATCCCTACTCCCACTCACCCGGGCCCGGCCCGCTCTTACTGAAACCCATGATCCTGTTCAGCCGCTCCTCCGAGTTCAGCAGCAGCTTCCTCCGGCGGAGCTCGGCTCTCCTCCGCTCCGAGCTCATTTTCTTCTTCTGTTGCTGCTGCTGCTCCTCCGGCTCGGCACCTCTCTCCATCCCTCCCGCTGACAGAGACAGGCGCGGGTGGAGCCACCGGCCGCACTCTGATGATGTGTCACCAGGGACTCAGCACCGGGACATGCTGTCATTTGCTGCTGGCTGTAGGATCACAATCACATGTTCACACAACAAATCACCGACCTCAACTTTTCCCAAATTATTTTAGCAAATGCATAATGCGCCTAAGTAAGGCAAAACATAAGAACTAGGAGCAGGAGTAGGCCGTCTGGCCCTTCGAGCCTGCTCTGCCATTCAATAAGATCATGGCTGATCCTTTCGTGGACTCAGATCCACTTACCTGCGTTCTCACCGTATCCCTTAATTCCTTTATTGTTCAAAAAAAAATCTTTTTTTTAAAAAACATTTACTGAAGTAGCATCAACTACTTCACTGGGCAAGGAATTCCGTAGATTAACAACCCTCTGGGTGAAGAAATTCGTTCTCAGTTCAGTCCTAAATCTGCTCCCTCTAATCTTGAGGCTATGCCCTCTTGTCCTAGCTTCACCTGCCAGTGGAAACATCTTCTCTACATCTATCTTATCTATTCCCTTCATAATTTTATATGTTTCTATAAGATCCCCCCTCAATCTTCTGAATTTCAATGAATATAATCCCAATCTACTCAGTCTCTCCTCATAAGCCAACGCCCTCAACTCCGGAATCAACCTAGTGAACCTCCTTTCACCCCCTCCAGTGCCAATACATCCTTTCTCAAGTAAGGAGACCAAAACAGTACTCCAGGTGTGGCCTCACCAGCACCTTGTACAGCTGCAACATAACCTCTCTGCTTTTAATCTCAATCCCTTTAGCAATGAAGGACAAAATTCCATTTGCCTTCCTAATTACTTGTTGTACCTGCAGACCTACCTTCTGTGATTCATGCACAAGGACACCCAGGTCCCTCTGCATAGCAGCATGCTGCAACTTTTTACCATTCAAGTAATAATCCTTTTTACTATTACTCCTACCAAAATGTACGACTTCACATTTACTTACATTGTATTCCATCTGCCAGACCTTTGCCCACTCACTCAATGTATCTATGTTCCTCTGCAAAGTTTCACAGTCCTCTGCACACTTTGCTTTGCCACTCATCTTAGTGTCATCTGCAAACTTTGACACCCTACATGTGGTCCCCAACTCCAAATCATCTATATAAATTGTAAATAATTGTGGTCCCAACACCGATCCCTGAGGTACACCACTAGTCACTGACTGCCAGCTAGAATAGCACTCATTTAACCCCACTCTTTGCTTCCTGTTAGTCAACCAATCCTCTATCCATGCTAATACTTTACCCTTAATGCCATGCATCCTTATCTTATGCAGCTGTCTGAAGTCTCGAATAATGCAGAAAGGCTTGGAAATATATTGTGGATGCTGGGACCAAGAATGGGCAATATCAAATTGACCACCCGTTATCCACGGCTCCTGTTCAGTTCCAAATAAAAACCAAAAGAACTCCGGATGCTGTAAATCAGAGTTAAGGTCCAGTGACCTTTCCTCAGAACTCACCGGATCTGAAACATTAACTCTGTTTTTTCCTTCACAGGTGCTGCCAGACCTGCTGAGCTTTTCCAGCAACTTTGTTTTTGATCCTGTTCAGTTCCATTGCAGTCAATGCAATTAAATATCAGACACTGTTTAATGCAGGCAGGCGACCCATTCTGGCATTATTATCCGAAACAAATATGTGCCCACGTTGCTGAAAATGCAACATTAATGACAAATGGGCTGATGTTGTAAGGGCCAAGGGGACGATAATCAGACAAGTAACAAACGATGTATTGAACCTGCTGACGATGGTAATACTTGTTATTTAGCAATCGAACATCTGCCTTATATAGGCTGAGGGACAACTCTCGGATACCTCCTCCTCCCTCCCTGCGACATAACCTTCTCTTTGAACATTAAGTAATTGTTTCAAGGACAACCATGGACCTCATCTTCTCTGGAGACCTAGCCTTCATGATTTCCCAACATTACTGATTCTCTCAATACCTCACAACTTCTTTCCTAAAACTTCAAATAGAAACTGCCGTATAGGTCACCCACAGTTTCAACCTGTTCTTGACTAGTGGAACATTTTTTTTCCTATCTCCAATCTATCTCTCCTCTCTACCTAGTGTTTTCCAAACCACCTCTGTAATTCTTCTAACACCATTTGTCAATTTAAAGGATTGTTGTTTCCTTGTCCTGACCATTTCCTTTTCAGCAGAATTATCCAATTCACTCACATTACTATCCTCCACCAGGATGGTGTAAAGTTCTTGACTTTAAGCTTGAACAGTGTCCAAACCAGCCTTCATTCACCACTGCTTTCCTCAATCTATTAATATATTCACATATTGAACAACTCCTTATTTGATTCCCTTGCCCCCTCCAAATAAAAAAAGGTTTCTTTAGAAAACTGTGAGAGTCCTAATCATTCATACTTCTTATTGTGCTGAATATGTGTAATACTCTTTGTTGCAAATTGACTCTAGTCCTCAATGACTGCCTTGGCTCAGTTGACTGCACCCCTGCCTCTGAGTCAAAAAATGATTGCTTCAAGTCCCACTCCAGAGATTTAAATCCAAATATTTAAGTGACTCTCCAGTGCATTCATTTTGGAGATGTCATCTTCCAGATTGGATGTTAACTGAGGCCATAATTTTACGACAAAGGTTGCAGGAGTGCACTGTTGCTCTGCTCCCACTACTCTACAGGTCACATTATAAAATAAAAATATATATCCCTGTTACCAGGATGGCATCTAAAATACCTAATCAGTTTCAGTTTCTAAATAAAAAAAAACTACCAGCCAATTTTCTTTAATAAATGCAATTATTGGTTTTTAATCAAAGCAAAACTTATTCAATGAAGATGCAAAAGTTCATTGACGTACACAGTCTGGAAGTATAAATGTTTATCCCTCTTAATGACTGTAAAATACGTACACAAAACACACACGTTCACACATAACAGATAAAGGTTAAGAAAACAGATATCTCTTTGCAAAGATTCACTTTAATAAACTAAAAGATAAAACACTTCCTAGTCATTAGGATTGTTCATGAATGCAAAAAAGATCAGCCATAGAATATTATGAAGTCTGTTAGCCTGATGTTAATTATTCACCTGATAAAGTCATTAATCTGGCGTCTTGGCAGATACAGTTTATCAAGACCTACATTATTGAAAAGTTTCTTCAATCACTCCTTCAGAAGATCAAAGAGAATTTACCATGATCTCAACAAAGGGCACTTCTCAGAAATAGAAGAGATCAGGTGAGCAGCCCTTTCTCTCAGGCTTCTTGTTCCCCCAATTAATTTCAGATACCAAAACACTCTTAATCCATTCACTTTTGAAAAAGCCCCAGCAAAACAAATAGTTATCACTTGTCACATGATCTCTAGGAAGCCTTGGTTAAAAATAATTCCAATGTCAGTGTGACTTTTCAATATTCACTTTTATTTCCACAAAACTTGAAATAAATCAATATTTTACAATCCTTCAAAACTTAAGCTCTCAAAAAAATATTTATTATGAAACATCTTTGTAACACAAAATTAACATTTCGGGTCTGGTGACCCTTCCTCAGATCTGTTTTCCAGTTCTGAGGAAGGGTCACCAGACCCGAAACGTTGACTCTGATTTTTTCTTCACAGATGCTGCCAGACCTGCTGAACTTTTCCAGCACCTTCTGTTTTTGTTCCTGATTTACTACATCCACAGTTCTTTTGGTTTTTATCTTTGTAACACAACTGGTACTGTTAGATGGATGTTAAAGAACCACAGCACCATTTCAAAGAAGAACAGGGATGGTCTACTGTGGCATTACGGTCAATATTAGCCCATCACTAAAAAAGATAAGCTGGTCATTATCACAATGCTGTTTATGGGAGTTTTCTACATGCACATTAGTTACTGTGTTTCCTACATGGTGACAGTGTCTACACTTCAAAAAAGTACAACATTGTTTGGGATATCCTGGAGTTAGGAAAGGCAAACTATAAATAAAAGATGCTGGAGAATCTGAGATAACAAGGTGCGGAGCTGGATGAACACAGCAGGCCAAGCAGCATCAGAGGAGCAGGAAAGCTGACGTTTCGGGTAGAGATAACAAAGTGTAGAGCTGGATGAACACAGCAGGCCAAGCAGCATCATAGGAGCAGGAAGGCTGACGTTTCGGGCCTAGAGCCTTCATCAGAAAAGTCTCAGATAGAGACCCTTTTTCAGAAATGGGGGAGGGGAAGGGGATTCTGAAATAAATAGGGAGAAGAGGGGGAGGCGGATAGAAGATGGATAGAGGAGAAGATAGGTGGAGAGGAGACAGACAGGTCAAAGAGGCAGGGTTGGAGCCAGTAAAGGTGAATGTAGGTGGGGAGTTAGGGAGGGGATAGGTCGGTCCAGGGAGGACAGACAAGTCAAGGAGGCGGAGATTAGTAGGTAGGAGATGGGGGTGGGGCTTGAGGTGGGAGGAATGGTTAGGGAGGTGGGGACGAGCTGGGCTGGTTTTGGGATGCAGTTGGGGGAGGGGAGATTTTGAAGCTTGTGAAGTCCGCATTGATACCCTTGGGCTGCAGGGTTCCTAAGCGAAATATGAGATGCTGTTCCTGCAACCTTCGGATGTCATCATTATGGCAATGCAGGAGGCCCAGGATGGACATGTTGTCCAAAGAGTAGGAGGGGGAGTTGAAATGGTTCGCAACTGGGAGGTGCAGTTGTTTAGTGTGAACCGAGTGTAAGTGTTCCACAAAGCAGTCCCCAAGCCTCCGCTTGGTTTCCCCGATGTAGAGAAGGCCACAACAGGAACAGTGGATACAGTATACCTGGGCCTCTCTGCCTCCATCTCTGGCACCATCTCTGATACCTCTCTCTCCTTCCTGGACCTCTCTGTCTCCATCTTTGGCATCGGCAGGTCCTACTATCTCTGGATAAAAAGATTGGCTCTCTAGTAGGAAATAGTGAGTAGTGATCAATGGATATATTTTAAGTTCAAGCAACGTTTGTTGTGAAGTACCCTAATCAGTTTGGAAAGTAGCAATTGTAACCCTTCAATTCAACTAAGGAGACAGATGGAAAATAGGAAACTAC